ATGAAATTCCATGTCATCAAGTTTCATGAGTCCGGTCAATCTGTCCCAATCATTTTCAGTGTAGTTTTCAGCAGAATTAACGATATTGATTGTTTGACTACTTTCGTGATCTTTAATGAATCCAGCATTCTTGAAGCCATTCATTATCGTATCGAAAGATACATCATTCCATGCCACTGACGTCTTTATGTCCATTTTTTTTAAAAAGTTTATCATTATGAGAATTGGTTTTCTATTCTTATTTTTTTTTTTTTTGTGGAATAGTTTTTAATTTTCAAAAGAAAAATCTACGCTACTTATGGAGAAAAAAAAATTCAAGTTATCGAGGAATGATAAAAAAAAATTCGTAAAATCAATTTTTTTTTAACATTGAGTGTATAGGAAATTTGAAGGGAATTTTTTCTTCTTCGAGATATCGAAAAATTCGAGAAATCGAGGTTCGAGTTAGCGAGGTTCGACTGTATATATATATATATTGGATTCTCTTTACAGTTTCTTTCTTGTTATAAACTCCTTGTTTAAACCTGAAGAAGAGGTGAGGTAAGACAGGACATATAAAAATAAATCAGAATTTCATAATAACCAATGTAATATCGTAATCCGGACCTTTACTTTTATTTATCAAAAATATCTTAATTTTATACTTAAATAAATAGTTTAACGTTCGACATAAAATAAATATTTTAGTTATATAAGTACATTTAAACAGACCCAGAAAAAACTATTTTATCGCAATTTTATGATTTGATTGTCAACTTCGTGAAAATTAAATTGCGATAAAACATCTATTTCTGGACTTATTTTATTTGAATAATTGTATAAAATAATATTATAGAAAAATAATGTTACAAAATTCTAAATAATTTTTAATCATTAAATTAAGATAAATATTTGTACCAATTGCGCACGAGCAGTCAGTCTATAATATTGTGGCGCCTTTAGAGGCGAACGTTGATGCTTCTGGTCATGACTTGCAATGCAATTATTCATTCTTTGGATGAGAAATACCTCTTCTTCAAATTTGTGAATGAAGTGTAGACCCTCCTCTTAAATAATAAGATATGATAGCCCTATGTGCGAAACATCAATATATATATATATATATAATTTTTTTTTAAAAGCTATTAATTTATCAGTCTTTTAGACCGACTATTTAAAACGAATATAAAATAAACTGTAAAGAGAAATAAAAGTACAGCGTTAAAATTTTACAAATCCATAAAATTTTCGAAGCCAAATCATTGTTGAAAAATGGTGATGTAATATTTTTGAACATCATTCTTCTTTATTTTTACAATAAAGAATAATTAAAAATTGTGCTTAATTTTAACATCTTAAATGTATTGATTTGTGCATTTGAATGTTATGCTTTTATTTATTAACTAGTAACTTGAATTTCTGTTTTGTATATTTTAACTAAATGTAAAATATTTTTTATTTTATTTTTATTTTTTAGAATAGCATGTTTTTAAAGTAAAAAAGAAAAATACTTATTTAATCTAGGTTTTAAAAAAAAAAACTTTTTTTTTCCTCTAAAATATGTAGTTTAAGCAAATTTACTTTAAATATAACTCGAATATTCTGAAGAAAGCTTGTTTTGTGTTTTCCAGATAAAGTTGTAGTCAACAATCGTAATAAATAAAGTTTTGATTGCTAACGCTTATATATTGTAAATATCTCATGGCCGAAACAAATAAATAGTGTTCTTTACTGGGAAATTACACTGTACAACAAAAAAAAAAGGAAATAAACAAACAATAAAAAAAATCTAAGCGTTTACACTGTTTTCGCTGATTCTTACAAAAAAAGTATTTCTGAATTTGAATACGACACCCGCCACCCTAATACCAATTGTTTTTCGACAACATACCCCTATAATTAACACTTTTCCATAATTTTATGGCCTTGAATTTGATATGAAGAAAGGAATAAGAATTCTTTTTGCCATTAAACTTTGTGTAAAGGACTAGAGAGGTGAAGAGTTCAACAACGTGAACTGTTTATTGTAAAGAAAAAGATTTAGGGGAATCCCTTCCTTAGATTGTAAATGAAAATGTTAAAAAAATTATCAATTTTTTCTCTCGAATTTTTTATCTGATTTTTTGCATGCGCTATCTTGCTGCACCGTTTTTCTACATCAAATATCCTCTAAATATGTAGTCTCAATTCTGACTAAAGCGGGTGTGAGGATGTAATGTTTCGGGAAACCTGCGAGAGAACGGATAGTTGAAAAGTTTTAATGCGTGAACAATTTTAGCACGCAATGAATAGGTGTGATTTGCATCATTCTTAAATTGCAAAAATAATCATGAAAAAAAGTTACATTTTTCAAGCTTTTCCTCGCAATTTTTGTATCATTTTAAAGAATATAATTTTAAATCACAAAATACAAACTTTGAGCAAAATTACTCAAACAGATCCTAAGAAATCAAATTTTAAATATCTGACTGTCTTGAAATATTTATTATTATTTTTTATTAGTATTTGTATAAATTCTATAGAAAATATTTAATAATAGTAATTATTAATAGTAATAAATATTTACCATTATTAATAGCAAATATTAATTAATAGTAAATATTTAATATTTTTTATTAGTTTATGTAATAAAAATCTACACCATATCATGTTTTTAATTGCCCTGCAGTCGCTGCAGGCCTTCCCCTCTTAAACTACCCTACAGAAGAAGATTTATATTCATTTAATGCCACAGAAATAGCAAAGACTATTCAAGCACACCATGAGATATGATTCAATAGAGGATACGACACCAACCAACCAATAAAAGTCGAAAAAAATTTTTTTGCAAGGTATACAATTTCGTATAGCATTTGAAAGAATATAATATGAAATGGCAAAATACAAAATTTGAGCGAAATTGGTCGAATAGTTCCTAAGAAATCGAATTCTGAAAAAAAAAAACGTACATTTAAAATTCCGATTTCTCAGGAACTATTCAACCGATTTTTCTTAATTTTGTATTCTGCCATTTAAAATTGCATTTTCTGAAATGATGCAAAAATTTGTATACCTTACATTTCAAAATTTTTGGGCTGTTATTAGATAAAATGATAAAGATTTTCAAAAAGTTACATTTTGCATGGAATTATATTTGAATGAAAAGATTTTATGATTGGGTGTAAAAATTTTTTCAATTCTCTTAAAAAGTTCTTGAGACAGTTTGAAATACGCAAAAAGTAAAATTAACATTCAGAGATCCAAACTTTGGACCATTCTCCGGACCAAATTACTTGGACCACATATATCACAGATTTCGGCTAGCTACTCCCAATTTTTTTAGGGTCAGAAATCCGAATCCGACGAAAAAAAGGTATGTTTATTCAGAATA